TATATATATATATATATACATTGTAGAGATATGATATGTTACTGTTGGAGAAGGGGGTGTGAAGAAAATTACCGTATTTTCTGGCGCACCTCACTAAGCTGCGGCCACTACATTTTTTGAGAAACTGGAATGGCACATCTATATAAGTCGCACTGTGCTATAAGCACCGGATATCTACTCACTGTCTTCCACCAAAACTTCTCTTCATTGGTTTAGAAGCTTTAATGAGGCAAATAAATGTCAAAATGTGTTAATTTGGGACATATGTTCCCTGTCGTGTCTGCTGCTAGTATGTTCTTGTGCTAAATGGAAATTAGACCCTTATTTTGTCATTGAATTTAAATTTTTAATTTTTTTTTATCATGTTGTTGTGTATAAACTCTTTGTGTTTTGTATCATCTCTTTATGGACCAGGAGTCTATTGAATAAAGCAATCAATCAATCAATTTCCAGCTTTGACCTCCCTCTCTGGTGGTTAGAAAAAATGCACAAAAAAGCTGCACCTTGCTACATTTAAAAGTAATTATTTTTAGGGATCTCCCAATACAACTTATTTCTTTCCGATACAATATAGATATTGCAGCTTTGAGAATTAACCAATGCAGGTATTGACCTGATACAATATAAGCATGCATTATGTATAATTTCACTGCTTATTTTGTACTGTTAGAAAAGGCTTGATCAAGCGATATTACCACAAGAGAGCCATAGGCAACAACAAAAGGTATAAGAACAATTGGCCCCTGTAATATTAACCAATGAATTATGGAAACTTAAACTCAGCCTAAAAAATAAATGGGAGATTTTCAATGCCAGCCAGTAAATTCCGATATTAGTTTTTTAGCTAATATTGGACCGATATCTGATATTAATATCAGAATAGGACCCCCTTATTATTTTTTTGCTTAACATCGCTGAGGTTATTAAATCTTCTGTAATACATGTATTACTTTAACATTTGCTGCTATAGATATATCTGACGTGAAACATACAGCCCTAGTCTTAGATAAACTTACATTTTGCTCCTTCTCTGGATTAGAGACATTATATAATGTTAGCAGGTTGACTCCTTGTTTTGATTTGACTTGGTAAAGATTTCTAAAATGTATTTTAATTGGTTTCAGTGTTAATGAGCGCAGCAAGCTTACACAAATGTAGTTTTTTTTTTTTATTGAGAATTATTTACTATTATTGTCTTAAATACCATTTTAGTCATGCACCCCTTAGCTTCCTCCCACACAGAGAAAGTCACATGACCCAAAACAGGTAGCAGCAGCCAATACAGTCTCCTACTATTTGAATGTTTTTTTTAAAGTGTTGGAAAATAATAAATTCAGGTAATTTTGATTTGTTTAAATGCAGAAAATAAGGTGCTCTCGCAGAGAGCATCAAAGAAATCGGAAGATTGGTCCAATTTTGTAAGCATTGGTTAAACGTGATCTGGTCCCTCAAGTTACTGGTTTATCAACTTGGTGTAACGGAAATGTAACTGACTGCAAAAAATGTAATTATTGATTATAAAATAACGATCCTTTATACTTTTTATTCATTGCTCCCATAAAAGTAACAAAGTTTTAATTTAATTTTATTTATTAAAATTTTGCACTCTCTTGTTTGACTCCAAAACCTGGTTTTGTCAACTTTGACTATGTTAGACCTACGGTAACACTAATTCTGTTTGGCAGCACATTAGCTCACACAAATGGGCACTGTTTGTGAGATACACTGTACCTTGTGTATACTGTAAATGCATGCAGGCACAACTTTGTATTTGTGGGTTTCATTTTGCTTTTGACACTGAAGGCGTTTTACTGGCCAGTTTGTTTTTCTCTGCTTCTTGCCGAACAGAATTTCCAGTCTAACACAGAAAGCATTCACCGTCTGAACGTTGTTCAGATTGTTTAGATCTATCAGTGATCGCTGCAGGTAAATATTTGGCGATTTACTTAGCGCCTTATCTGTTCTCCTGGGAATGTTTCTAAGGGTTCAGTTTCTTGGCATCACTTTTCAGGCCTTAGCTGTCTGCCTACGTCATTGCTCCATAAACCATGTCTTTTCTGTTATGAAATGAAATAAAGGCCCATTTAACCTGCTGTTTATATATAGATATTCTCTATATTTGTACCATGATTTATTGCTACTTCCTCTATTCATCAGAATTTAATAAGCAGTGCAGGGACAGAACTTTTTTCTAATGATTTTATAAGGAACAAATAACAGACTCCTCCTCTGTCTATTGCACAGCCTCTTCTTTTCACCACATGATAGAAATCTGTGCCCTCTAGTTTGCTTTCACAAGTGCTGGTGTTGGAGCCTTTTGGTTCTGCTTGATGGGCACTTTGCTCCAGCTTAAAAACTACATGGATGTAAGCTCTAAATCTTGAAATAAATGACAAACAAGGATCTATCAGAGAGAGACCAGATTGTGGTGATCTTTGGTTTGTCACAAAGTGTTCTGCTGCCCTTTTTTCTCTTCTTTCTGTGCTTATTTTTATTCAAATATACATGCTGGAGACTAAAATCTTTTGTGATGTTTTTCAGCTACATGACTGATGGAGGTTTGGGTCTGTACACTCGCCGCCTGAACCGACTGCCTGACAGCATGGCTGCCGTTCGAGAGACGCTCCATCGGAATACCTCGTCAGGACAGGGAGATGCTGATAGGTGGGTTAAGAAAATCTGATGAAGGCATCTCACCTGCTCTTTCTCTCTCTATTCTTTTGATATTTTACTTATCTTTATTTTCATATTGTTGTATGCTCCTTTACCTTTTGATCCATTTATTGATTCACCTCCCAAGACCCATTTGATACAAATTATTCCAAATTGTGGAGTTGGAGATTAATCTTCTGTTTTGTTGCGTTTCCAGTGTTTCTGTTCAATAATTGACAATGCAGTTATTTATTGATGCTGAATACAGGCATCTTTGTTCTCAAAGTATAGATAAAGTTTATGTATAATTGTGTGATGCCTGGAAAGCCTTTGTAATCTTTCAAACTTCTAAACTATTTACCAATTTCTGTTTACACATGTATAAAGAAATATGGTGTTGGCAAACATAAAGCATGATGTCAGATACAACACTTGGTTGATATGAACCAGTTTCAGAGCCTCAAACTATATTAGGAGCAGAAATTGAGAAAACCTTTCTCAATAGCATTTGAAAATGTTGATTATCTTTCTTGATTTTAATGTATTTCCCAGTATTTCCCACTTTTTTTTCTGTTCATTATTGGAAGGGAAATTTTAGATATTACCCTTCTAAACCTTTGTGATGAGCAAAGCTTTGTGTTGCTCTGCTCATGCATTTAGATTATTTCTTGATAATTACAAAAGAGAGAAGATTGACAAAGGTTCTGTTGCTTGTGTGAGACTTTTAGTCAGTGTTTGTAATTTTGGAGCAGCCTTTGTCCTGTCAGACAGTTGGAGAAGGATTTGGCTTGTTGACAGACAGAAATGAATGAAGGCTGAGCAGCACCCCACCATGTAGCTGAAGAAAGACAAGGGGGTTGGAAGAAAGAAAGACGATGGGGGAGGGAGTGAAATGATATGAAGATGGACGGCCGAATGGATGGAGATGGCTCTAAATGAAAATTGGGTAAATTAAGCCAGACAAAGGCCTGCTTTGGATGAAAACACACAGAGCGTGTGGTTGGGTTCTGCATTTTCTGATAAACTATCTTCAAATATGGCAAAAAGATAAAAAAAAAAATAAAAAAAGTCCTTTTGGGGGTTTTTATGTTTAATACTTGCACTGGCTAAAACGCTGTTAAAATTTTCAATTGCATCTTTAAACTGCATCTGTATCTGCTCCATGGACCATTAAGCTTAAATCCTCAGGTGTGGCTAATTTCCTGCCTTCAAGACTTTTGACCTTTTTTTGCCATTCACCCGGCACAGACACACACACAAACACGCGTTTGGCTCTTTTAGCCTTTTAACACAAACTAACCTCCTTTACCTTTCATCTCTCTCTTCTCAACTCATTTCCTGTCCTCTTTCAAACAGAACTCAATTTCTTTCTACCATCTCGCTATTTTCCCTCTTTGTTGTTTTGATTAAAGAGTGTAAGGAGCAGTGGAAAACTAAACGGGGACAAATGATGAAAGTTGGGGGACTTCTTATGTTTTATTTCATGCCTCTCTGTGAGGCTTATAATTGAGAGAAACTGCTGATGTTTTTTCCCACCTCTTTGATGATGGTCTTGCAGGTTAATATGTTGTTAAGAAAGAGACAGCAGAAAAAGGAGAGGTTGGTCTCCGCTTAAACCCCTACAGGAATGTCTGAATAATCTGCTTACTGCTTCAAATTTTCGATTAATTAAAAGGTTTCAGGAAGCGATGGATGAAATATATTAGCATATTGAATCGAAAGTATTAGCACTGCAGGGTTAAAGAGGCTGGTAAGTTTTGTCTTGTAAAATAATTAGGCTAATTTGAGTCATGAAAATTGAGTTAATGGTTCAGCATAATCCAGGTGGAAAAATGAGCATGAGCAGTTTGTTATTTTTTCTATTTATTTATGAGCGTCACACAAAAGTAAAGACATCTGTTCAATCTGTTCTGGATTTGACTGTGACCTGGGCTTAGACCAAGACTTGTTTTTCAGTGTTCTTTGGTTGTGCTGCAGCCAAGCCTCTCAGTAGAAGCAGGGGATACCAGAAGGTGTCGGGTGTGCACGTGGTGGTGCTGGGGTAAAAAAACGCTGTGACCCCTGGACTCTGAGGTCATGGGCTTCAAAGGGCTGAGGTTCACATTTAAAAACCACTCAGAAAACCTTTAAAGCCGTCATGCCATTTTTTTTCCCGGATCAAACCAGAACCTGGACTAATGAGCTTGGGGGGGTGCATCTGGAAAACACTGAGTGTAAAGCAAGTGCAAAACTGCAGCTGTGAGAGATGACTAATGTTTCAGTTGGCAATGCAAAATCTTGTCAGCTCTCCTTAAAGTATTATCTGGAAGCAAAAAGTGAGTCATGAAACAACGGGCCATTAATGTATGAGCCGAAGCAGAGACAATAGAGAATAGAAGCTGTTTGCTCGTGTGTGTGAGCTTTCTTATCCCTGTCATTAATCTCTGTGGTTGAGGAAAAGAGGAAGCAATCTGTAATAGTCTGTCCTTTGGTTTGAATCCTCTTTGTTAAAGAAGACAAAAGGAGAAGAGGTCTTTGTTGTCTGAAACTGCTGTAGAGGCACAAACCCCCCCATCGCCACCACCAGCAGTTTTTTTTTTTTTTAGATGAGGTGCTGTGTATCCTCTGTAGCACACTGGGACACAAATGTATAATTAAAATGTTAAGTTGACTTTAAATGTCAAATTAGAAAAAATAAAATAAACTACTAGTCAGATTAACAGCTTCCATTCCAGTTGTATTTTGTCCAAGTTAAACTTGCAGCTTCAAAGGAAGTTTAGTGGATCTAAAGGAGGTGAGTTTGTTGTCAATATTTCATCTTTTATTCATTGCCTGTCACATATAGTTTTATCAGGGGCACCAGTTTGCCAGTTTTCACTGTGGGTCTGTCCAAACATTCTGGTCCATCTGCAGAGACTTTTGCAGCATTATAAACCCAACAGCTACGTAAAAAAATTGTTGCAAATATGACCGTAAGAAGACAAAATACAAATAGGGATGTCTAGAAGTTGAAGGTCAATTGTTACCTTCTACTTTTAGTTTTAAAACAGAGGACTTGACAGAAATCTAATGGTTCTTATTAGACTGAAAAGCAACAGATGCATCTTTTTGCTGCTTGATGATTAATTAAGTAAAACTTATAAATAGGAGTAGATTTCTCGAAAATTTGTGTCGGAAAAATAAAGAGCAAATGTAACGGAGTGAGCTGGTATAAGCCTAGTTAGAAACATCAGGTGATTGATTTATTAGTCGTATATTGCTGGATTACCATCGCCACCTGTCTATCCTAAAAGACTTAGTTCATAAAAAGATTGATTAATGAACAACAATTTGTTCTTAAGACCTAATTCCTTGGAGTAAAGTGGCACAACACTGTTGTCCCTTTCTATCAAGTTCGTCTCCTCATTACCTCTGCAGTCATTTGACCTGGGTCTTGTTAAAGTTGTATTTTTTCTCTGTGAGGACAAACAAAATAGATGTTTGGTTAAACGTGATAAAATTTGCCCTGGTGCATTCATGTTAGACTTGGAAAATAATTCTGGTTCCCAATGTTGCAACTCGGATAAAAGACTGATGTGTTTTTGCTGTTTGTTCATTAAACTTTGCTATTATTTAAAGGGAAAAATTAGGAATTTCTCCTAGGATTTAGTTTAAACTATTATTGGTTTTCAATTTGAGAGGTTCTACAGAGGCAGACGACTTGTCATGTGTAAAATCTCACACTGGAAAAACAATCTAGAAATAAGTAAAAATTTCTTAAATTAAGTGTATTTACCCTTAATTTGAGTAGGTAAATGAAATGATTTGCCAATGGAACGAGTATTTTTACTCTTAGAATAAGATATTTTGATAAAATGCACTTGAAACAAGACAATATAATCGAGTTTTCTTATTTTAAATGTAAATTGTCTCGTTCCATTGGCAAAATATCTCTTTAACCTTTTCAATTCAAGAACAAATGCACTTATTTTAAGAAGAAATGGGTTTTATAGATTTAGATTTTTTCCAGTGCAGGTTTACAGGGAAGCTTGCAGTGAGGAAAAACATGGTAAAATGGCATAATTTGTTTTGGTCATTTGATTGTAGCGATGAAAAAAAAAAATCTTAAAAAAAATTCTTGTTATAGTAATTTCTATAATAGTATTTATCCAGAAAAAGGCAAACATACTTTCTCCATTGACAAAAAAGAAGGAACACTTAGAGAAGAACTAAGCTATTGTAGGATTAGGTTTTTGTTGGCCACTGCTGTGGTTTTATGGGCATTATGTGATTCATCTGAGAGTAAACACAGCACGATCGGCTTAATCCACCAACAGACACCTTCATTAGTGGTCGTTAGACCCTGATTCTGTCTGCCGTCGTGCTCGTTATCTTTTCACTGTAGCCATCATGCTTTTGCATTGCTTTGCCGTTTGAAATTTACTAAACAATAAAACAGTTTCCACCTTTGCTTAACTAAATTGTTGAGTTCCTAATCCTTTAAGTCTTTGCACAGAGCTGCGTTAGCACTGCATAGAAAGGCTCCTCGTTTATTATTCTACTAACGGCTCATAGTGTAAAGAAACAGTAACCCTCATTGACCTATACCTCAGAGCTATGTGACACACTGTATTACACAATTCAGTTTGTGCAATTCTATTTGGTTAACTTTTCACAGTCATAAAGCCCATTTGTTTTGCTATGAATCACTCTGTAATCTTTTGGCACTTGATAAGCTGCAGCTGATGTGTCTGTTTCCCAAACTAGGCTCCCAGCAATCCGCCTTGGCTGTTTTGTATGTGAAAGAACCCCTCACGGCTGTATTTCTCTTTAAAATCATTTCTCGTTATGAGTAATGATTATAAATCATCATAGGTGAAGTACAGCATGTCTGTAAATCAGTGTGCGTCGGACTATTTTTTTGAAGCAGTTTTTTTTGTCCAGTTTCTCCCCTTGAGGACTTGAGTCCCACCTGCAGCAGTTCAGAGGTTGTTGGAAAGATATACAGATGGTCCAAGCCCCAGTGTGTTATCGCTCTTGTCTGGACTTGAACA